CCCAGGTCCTCACAGCACACTTAGGTGCATGGAGTGAAGAGCACACATTTGCACATGCACAGAGAAGCAGGCTTTGGTACTTGGTGTTCCCAGGAGGTTGAGAGTGGGCACCCTCAGTCTGGGCTCCAGAAGACATGAAGTACAGATGGGTCTATGTAGAGAGAGCTGAAGACCAGCAAAGGCCTAATGGTGTGGAGATAGAAAAGCCATTGCAAGCTGGGCCTGGTGGTGCACCCCTCTGATCCCAGCACTCAGGAGGCAGAGGCAGGTGGATCTCTGTGAGTTGGAGGCCAGCTTAGTCTACAAAGCGAGTTCCAGGCCAGCCAGGGCTACATAGTCAGACCATGTCTCAAAAAGAGAACAAAAACCAAGCAAACAAAAAACCAAAAAGAGAAAAGGCGCTGCAGTGTTGCGAAAGGAGAGGACAGAGAGGCAGTGCCAGTGGGTGGTAGGCTGGGCTCAGTTATGGTGGCCATTGAATGCTAAGCTGGGCTGGTAACGTCAAAGATTATATCTGCCCCATTTGTAGCTGTTTCCCCACCACTCAAGTATTCCGTTACTGAATGCCCAAACTGATTCTACTCAGCAGATGTGGAGGACTGGAGCAGCAAAGAGAAAGCTAAAACAGTTGTCCGAATGAGGCTACACCAGGCCAGGAGACACAGAAGTGGAATGGGCCAGAGGCAGTGACAGGGCGAGAGCTCAAATGTGGATTTTGACCTCATCAGCCCCTCACACCTTCACAGGGAGGTGGGCCTTCGGGTGGTTGTTCTCTCTTAGGCCCAGGAGGATCAAATTGCCCATGGGCAGCCCTGGTGCCTCCACCTGATACTCACCGCTAGACCCTGGTGGCCTGGGCTTCCTGGCCGCCCTGCCTGACCTGCACTGCCCTGGAGAGACAGAACCGGAAGCACAAATTAGAACCCTAATCAGAGGATCCATAGCTTCCACCTAAGTGTAGGTAGGGAAGCAGATCCAGAAGCAAGGAGAGATGTGCCTGAGACACTCTGGAGAGCTGCTGGCTCTGAAACGTCTAGGATCAGTGTGATGGGGTTCAAAGGCCTGAGAAGGATCAGGCCTGACCCTCCCCAGCACTCCCCACTCTTACCTTCATGCCAGGTGTGCCAGGGGTCCCATCCTTGCCATCAATGCCTGGAGGCCCCTGTTCAGGAGAAAGTTCAAAGGAGACTCACTGAGAGCCTTGGGGTCAACCTACTTGCCTGGTGACATGACCTCTAAGCCAGTTGCAGTGTTCAGGTAGGCAGAGGATCTGGTCATCTCAAGAAACCTCAGCCAACTGGGTTAGAGTAGCCCAAGTGGGAAAGGGTTAAGGGGACTGTGATGGTTTGAATGATAATGTCCCCCATAGGCTCCCAGTATTTGGACATTCTGTTTCTTCCCCCCCTACCCCCGCTGTTTTGGGAGGTTTTAGAAGGTGTGGCTATCCTGGAGGAAGCAGGTCACTGGGGGTGGGCTTAGAGAGTTCTTAAGCCTCGCCAGATCTCTGGTCGCTCTCTTGTTTCCTGTGCCTACATGATGATGTGAGAGCTTAGCTTCTGCTCCTCCTCCAGCCACCTCTGCCACCATGCCTCCCTGCCAAGATGGACTGTAATTCCTCTGGAACCGTAACCTCAAACCCTTCCTTCTATAAATTGTTTGGGTCAGTGTTTCTACCACAGCAATAGAAAAGTGACTAATACAGGGACAAACCCCATCTTTCCTTTGTGGGGATGATAACGCTCAGTTTTCTATGGCATCACCACTATTCACAGGTGAAGAAACTAAGGCTCAGAAAAGGAGGTATTTGCCAGGATACAAAGCCAGCCACCTACTGCAGAGTTCAGTCTAAAGCCCCATGTTCCTCTTCCTCTAGGTGTGTGGACAAACTGATCAGATCCTGGCCTCTGAGTGGGCCAGGGCCTGGGCCCCTGGCACTTACCGTTACTCCCTTTGGGCCTGTTAACCCCTGGGGTCCCGAGACACCTTGGCTTCCCTGCAAAGTAGATAAAGATTAAGTCATCTTCTGGATGCTGAGTCTATTGACTGTAGAGAGAGGGGCACAGCTGATACCAGTGGCCTCTGGGTCCCAGAGTTCCTGCAGCACAGCCGCATGGTGCAGAGGTTGAATGAGAGAGATTTGGAAATACCACCTCTGTCCCAGCACCAAGGCAGGGAGAGCAGGCTAGGGATCCTTGAAGCCCCAGATATCCAGAGAACAGAGCAGTCACCAAGGATGATGGGTGGGCTTTATATTGGGGGGGGGGGTGTTGATTTGAACAAGAGCTGTGAAGATAAAATGGTTTGAGGATAACCAGAAAAAGCTAAAGACAGGCAGACATTAAAGAATAATTGTTGCTTTTGTTTTGGTCTTTTTGAGACAGGGTCTCCCTGTAGCCCCAGCTGTCCCAGAACTCACTATACAGACCAGGCTGGCCTTGAACTCACTGAGATCCACCTGTCTTTGCCTCCCAAGTGCTGGGATTAAAGGCGTGCACCACCATGCCCGCCTCTTTTGTTAGTTTTTAAAAAGATTTTGCTCTTTTTATTTTATGCGTCTGTTTTGCCTGCATGTATGTAAGTGTACCACGTGCATGCAATGCCTGTGATGGCCAGAAGAATCAGACCCCCTGGGTCTGGAGTTACAGATGGTTGTTAGCCATCTGTGGGTGCTAGAAACTGAGCCTGGGTCCTCAGCAAGAGTAGGCAGCCATTAATCCACCAAGCCATTTCTTTAGCCTCTCTTTTGTTTTTGTAAAAAAAGTTTAAAAATGATATTTATGTGGGGGAGGGCATATGCCATGGCACACTTGTGGAGGTCAAAGGACACTTTGCAGGAGTCATGTTCCTCATTTTGTTATTTTTATTTTTATGTGTATAAGTGCATTGCCTGCATGTGTTTAAGTATACCCGTGTGGTGCAATGCCCAAACCCAGGTCCTCTGTAAGAGTGCTCTTAACCACTGAGCCATCTCTCCAGTCCCCAGTTTTCTCCTATCATGTAAATTCTAGGGATCAAACTCAGGTAGTCAGTCTTGGTGGTAAGTGCCTTTACCTGCTGAGCCATCTCAACAGCCCTCTTTCATTAGTTTTGATAATGTGATTATGTGAGAACAATTCCTCAATTTTTAGAGATAGATTCAGCAGTGTTTAGAGGTGAAATGACATGAGGATCTGCTTGAAAATGTTAGAGCAGAGCCAGGCATGGTGGCACACGCCTTTAATCCTAGCACTGGGGAGGCAGAGGCAGGCAGATCTCTATGAGTTCAGGGCCAGCCTGGTTAAGTATACCCGTGTGGTGCAATGCCCAAACCCAGGTCATCTGTAAGAGTGCTCTTAACCACTGAGCCATCTCTCCAGTCCCCAGTTTTCTCCTATCATGTAAATTCTAGGGATCAAACTCAGGTAGTCAGTCTTGGTGGTAAGTGCCTTTACCTGCTGAGCCATCTCAACAGCCCTCTTTCATTAGTTTTGATAATGTGATTATGTGAGAACAATTCCTCAATTTTTAGAGATAGATTCAGCAGTGTTTAGAGGTGAAATGACATGAGGATCTGCTTGAAAATGTTAGAGCAGAGCCAGGCATGGTGGCACACGCCTTTAATCCTAGCACTGGGGAGGCAGAGGCAGGTGGATCTCTGTGAGATGGAGGCCAGCCTGCTCTACATAGTTCCAGGACGGCTGGGACTACAGGGAGACCCTATCTCAAAAACAGGGAACTGGAACCCGTGAGACAGCCATATGGGATTCACTGGATATTTCATTTTTAATTTGTATTTTATGTGTAGTTTGCCTGCATGTAAGTGCACCGTATGCATGCATTGTCTACAAAGGCCAGAAGAGGGCAAAGGATTCCCTGGAACTGGAGTTATAGGTGGTTGTTAGCAGCCATGTAGGTGCTGGGAACTGAACCTTGATCTGCTGGAACAGCAGCCAGGCAAGATGGTGCTGTGATTTGGGCCCCTCTTGTTTCCAGGGGGATCCAGGAAGCAACTTTTAAAAAACTTGTATTAAAAAACACAGTTAAGGGGACTGGAGAGATGGCTCAGCAATTAGAGCACTGGCTGTTCTTTCCAAGCATCTATATGGTGGCTAACAGCTATCCACAACTCTGGCTTCAGGGGATCTGATGCCCTCTTCTGGCCTCTGTGAGAATTGCATAACACAGGTGCACTTATGTACATGAAGGCAAACACTCACACATAAAAATTAAAATTTTTATTAAGAAATGCAGTTAACTGTACTTTCTGTTTTTTTCCCCAAGCAAATCTGTAGTCTTAATTTTTTTCATATTAGTGTAGAATAAATTTTTACTTTACTTTAACCTACACACACCTAACAGTACATCTTAGTTAACAGTACACCGTAACAGTTAAGAGTTCTTTGTATACCATATGAGGAAATATCGTCCTATGATACATAAGGACATGTACTCTACAACTACCTCAAATGATACAAAAATTGCCCATATATATATATAAAATATATAATTTTGCACAAATTTAAGAGCCGATGAGATGGCTCAGTGGGTAAAAGTACTTGCCATGCAAGCCTGACAGCCTCACTTTGCTCTCCAGAACACACA